TCAATCATGACACCTTGCTCATCACATTTATAAACTTCAAGTTTAACAAGTATGAATCTCAGCACACTTCCGCACAAGGTTCCCGGATGGGCATGCCTATCATTACACTAAGTCTTCTAAAGAAGTCCGGATCTCATCAAACATCCAAACAACCGTCTCAGGTGAGAGGATGCACATGCCTGTACAACTTAGGGATAACCTAAAAAATTATATTATCCAATGAGAATTCAATCATGATAACCGCATTTGGGGATAACCTAAAAAATTATATTGTGTCTTCCGCATTTGGGGCGAGTGGATGGGCGTGCCTACGTTGCTTAGGCTACAACCAAAAATGAATTCGTTAGAAAGAAGACACAATATAATGTCCTATTTTAACGAATAGCATATTCACCATTCTTACCTGATAGATGTTTTAAAAAATCTGGATTAGTGTAAGTTAGATTAGATATTTCCAGGTAAACGAACCGACCGACAATAAATTAAGTGAAGACAGTTGATATAAACTTAGTTTTTATCCCAAGGTTACCTATTGGCCAAGGGTGTCAGCTACACGTGCGTGGTATGCGTAGTGATAGGTCATGCTAGAAAGCAGCACGAGAAAGTCGAAGAACAATTTCGATGAAGCAGAAGGTAAGGTTAGGATAACGGACTTGATACATGAAGTCGGTCCCATTCCGGGTGGTTGAGTTGACCAGCGTCCGTTTCACACCTAAGATCACTGCCCTAATGAAACAAAAGCATACAGGTTCTATAGGCGTTTTAACCACGCGTATCTATGCTACAGTGAAACGAGCAAACACCCTCGATTGATCTACCTCTGCAATTGCATGTAAAAGCATTTGTACGTCGGTGTAGCTTGGTAGGGATTCGCCCCTAAGGGCGGTGACAGCCTTTTAGGGAAGGAAAGTTGTGCCTCATGGCAACCTGTCCTGTTGCAGGAGACCGCGAGAGGTACGGCTGGCGCATTCGGCCAGAGCGGCAAGGCGACAATGCAACTGCGTTCGTCTTGGCGGCTCGTGGATTTACTTACGCGTTGTTGTCAAGTTGTCTCCAGGTTGTTTTCTTTAACTTCTGCGTGACATGGCGAGGAGACTTCTTGCCTTTTGTGAAAAGGCGGGAGCCGATGCACTCCACACCGGCGCCCAAGGGAGTAGTAGCGAAGGAAGCTATTACGCGGGAGGTAGGGGCAATGGTTCCCCGCAAGGCGAACGAGGTTCTCCCTTCAGTGGGGGAAGAGATAGAGGTCAAAGGTCGTACCCAACACACACTGGGCTCACAACAGAGGAGCCTTGGAAAAAGATGAACATGGAGTACAAGTTATGGAAGGCACGACTTGAGGCCAGCCAGTGTTGTAAGTGTTGTGACTCCAACCACATCGTTCCCTTTTGCCCAGAGTATTGGTACTCAAAAGGGAACAAAACCAGTAGGGGTTGTAGCTGCCGCTACAGGGCCTTCATACTCGGACAAATAAATAGACGTGCGCACTGCACAAGCACCCTCTTGTTTGAAGAGCCCAATGGCAGAGGCTGATGTAGGCCCCCACCTAGCTAGTTTTCCAGAGGCCACTTGCACTAGGGTCTTTCTAGGTGGCTCCCTCACAGGCATCGGAGATAAGTTGATCAGTCGTCACCAAGCCTGGGCCGAAACGAAGAAGAAATTGAAAGGGCAGCTAATAATAACCGATGTAGAGATTAGTAGAGAGCGAGTAGGTCTAGGGTACCTATCCTTCTCACTCGAGCACAAGACTCGGATCTCAAAAGTCTGACCGTCTCCATGCAATTGACAAAGCACCCCCCCGTAGAAGGGTCCACTCTGGGCCGATAACAGGGTCGGGTCCTAAAGCAGTTAACCCCCACCCCAGCTACTTTTTGGAGAGAGAGGAGCGTTTGGACTCTATGTGGAATCGATAATCCCTTCCTCCCTCGCGAAAGTAGCTTACATACAATAAAAAACAGAGGAAGCAAAGAATAAAATCATTAGACGGGTATACACAAATGAGGTTATTCGAGGTAGAATGGGTAACCTTGGGATAAAAATTAAGTTTATACCAACTCTCTTCACTTAATTTATTGTCGGTCGGTTCGTTTTCCTGTAAATATTTAATCCAACTTACATTAAGCCAGATTTTTCAAAACATCAATCTCCCACGATCTCGAATTTAATTGAATTGGCTCCTGAAGGTTTAGGTCCTTGCGTGAGTATCTTCTCAGGCAATCTAGTATTGCGTGGATTCTCAAGTCTTGGGCTCGCTATTGACAAAACCACAGGTAATCCTAGTCCCTTAGACATATAATTCAGAAAGAATTAGGCTGGCGGGAGTAAAAGGATTCACGCTGCAGACACCCCAGCCCCGGTCCCGAAGTGTTCCAGTCTCAAGCTGTCCCGGTAGGATAGGCCGTAGGGAATATAGGCTAAAGCATCATAAGTCGGTAGGGGTCGGTACCGAGACATCGTATGCCGGTAGAACTTCATCCGGTACCCCACAAGAAAATTCCAGTCCAGTCCAGTAGTCTGCAATCAGACTCGTCTCATTCACACTTTTCATGCGTGTAAACAGCAACACAACAAACCAGCGACATGCGCCCACACAGAACTCAGAGATATGACGTCCAGATAAGAGTTCGCTTCCACTGACTATGGCGACTCAGCGCCCAACAACTCACTGTTCACACACCGGATCACCCTGGATATCCCACACGCATCACTCCGAACACTCACACATCACACACACACACCAGCTACAGCTATGGCAGCCGTGACTGCCTCTACGCTATCGCTATGCTAAGCTCTCCTGGCCCACTTCGACTTCGGGCACACCTGCAGACCTCCTCGCACAAGCCACTGAGACAGCACTTCCGCATGGCTTCCGCAGGAATGAATGAATGGCTGTGCGTGGCCTCTTAATTTATACTTATGTGACTCGTTGGTCTCCCCTGTTTCCCTGGCCCACGATGTACAAAGTCCCAGGCGGTACTTGCTTGACTGGACCAGACTGACTGGATTGGGACTGCTGACTCTGCAGGGTGGACTTCCGCCACTTGCCCACTTGCCTTGACTTCCAGTGGGATGACTCCGAAAGGCCACTTCCAGAAACATCTACTTGGCCTTTCGGTATTGTACCAGTTACGACTCTGCCCTTTCAGGTAAGTAGCAGCTACGACTTTGACCCTTCGGAAAGTCTACAGCTAAGACCTCTGGACTCTCTAGACTCCTACCCGACAGGTNCTCTGCCCTTTCAGGTAAGTAGCAGCTACGACTTTGACCCTTCGGAAAGTCTACAGCTAAGACCTCTGGACTCTCTAGACTCCTACCCGACAGGTCTACAGTTCGAATCCCCTATACCCTGTAACCTACGACAACCTACCTACCACTGGGAGTCCTAAGGTCGCGGGTTCAATTCTACGGGTTGACACAGGTACTGTACACAGGTAAGGTGGGGACTAGGGATCGAGCCCTGGGATCTACATCAGCTACTGCGAACTGGTGAATACCGTTTCACTCCCGCCGGCCTAAATTCGGTGTCCTCCGAGAATATTTCAGTCCAAGGCAGGACCTTTACCTTTTCTGTCCCTTTCGTAGGCCTTGACTATATCGGGAGCTGTTTTTAGAAGTCCAGTTCTAGTGAAGCACCGGTCGTCTTCTGGTTCCTGATATGCAAATCTGACTTTATACTGTTTCTGAGGACGACCTCGACCTCCTGTTCTAAGCACGTCTTCACCTACAATGCCGTCAATATCGTATCTGCCATCCATGTCGGGAGGGATCATGGAACGTCTAGATGGAAATTGATCACTGACTGTGCATGGCAACAACTTTGACGCGTGGAAAACTGGGTAGGTGTGGAGGTGTAGTGGGATCTCTATCGAGTACGACGGGCCATCCTCGCCGCCCTTGACTTCTAGAACTGGCCACGGTCCTCTATACGCGGGCAGTAACTTTTGCGAGATGTTCTCCTCAGGAGCAAACTCGTTAGCTTTGACCCTGACTAAGTCGGCTACTTGGAACTCTGATGGGCGACGATGTTTGTTGGCTTGCTCTATCATCCTATGCTGGGCCTTCCTGAGGTTCTCTACTACAGTAGCTAGTTTTTTCTCGTGCTGGATAGCAAACTCCCTACCGGGCGGTAGCCTATGGATCTGGTCCCGGTTAAGTCCTCCGGCGGTCTAAAGGACTTGTGCAGTTCGTTGGGAGTGCGGCACGTAGATAGATGCACACTATTGTTATAAGCACTGGCTACCTTGGGGAGCATCTCATCCCAGTCAATTTGATCTGGTCTAATGTACATTCTCAGAACTTGCTGCAGGATCTTATTCATCTGTTCAGTCTGACCGTTGGTCTCTGGGTGACGGCCAGACGACATCAACAACTTAAGCCATAGACTCTCATCAACTCCTGCCAATTCTGACTTGTGAACCGGGTGTCTCTATCACTAACTATGGACAATCGGACCCCGTGCTCACTGACCCAATGATAAAAAAACTTACGGATCACTAACTCGGTCTGTGCCTCTGAAGGCAAAGGTATGAAAACATCATACTTACTAAATCTATCGACTATCACCATAACTTGGCTCTGCCATGTCTACTCTTGACGCCTGCGTCCATGAAGTCGATGGACACTGAATCTCCTGGCTGATCGGGAATAGGCAAGGGTCTGAGAAGACCTAGCGGGGCACGCGTAGTAGTCTTATTCCTCTGGCAAACCTTGCAACTGCGGACATACTCTATGCAGTCATTCTTCATTCCTGTCCAGGTGTACGTGTGCATCAGATTGGCAAAAGTCTTTTGCCAACCAAAATGACCCTCTGTGTCGTGGCATTCTCCTAATATCAGACTACGGATCTCTTCGCTATTGGGAATGCACAATCGGTCAAATACGTTAGTCTTCTAAAAAAGCAACCCCTCAGTAGTGCGGTAATCTGGTTCGGTCTCTGGGGCCTCCGTTACTCTCTTGAGGAGGTCACTATAGATAGGGTCCTGCGCATATGCTTTTTTAACCTTTTCCTGCAGGTCTCTTCCTATGTCCAGATAGTGAACTATCGCTCCAAAGTATTCAGCTCTCCTACTCAGAGCGTCCGCAACTACATTATATTTACCCTTGACTGGCTTGAGCTCAAAAATGTACTGGTCTATTTCTGCGGCCCACCTAGTAAGCTTAGGTGTCATCTTGGCCTGCGTCTTTAACCATCGTAACGTTTCGTGGTCAGAATAGACTTTGAAATGCCTCCCAAGCAAGTAGTGCTTCCAGTGTTCTAGCGCTTGCCTGAGAGCGTAGAGTTCCCTCTCGTAGGTCGATGTCGCAACCTTCTTTGAAGGCATCCTAGTAGACATGAACTCTACGGGCCTATAACCATTGCCATCGTCTTGCTGCAGAACAACACCTATGCCGTACTGACTAGCGTCCGTAGTGACGACAAAGGGTAAGGACGGATCGACCACCTTAAGGACTGGATACTCTATCAGTGCTTGCTTCAACTTCTTCATAGCAGACATGCAGTCCTTATCCCACTGCCAGATAGTCTCTTTCCTGAGCAGTCTGCGAAGGGGCGCAACGATAGTGGAGAAGTTCCTTACGAACTTCCTATAATAATTTGCTAGGCCTAAGAACGATCGCAACTCTGTCAACGTACGCGGTGTAGGCCAATCCCTGATCGCTGCAATCTTACTATCTTCTGGCTTGATGCCGTCTCCGTCTAAGACGTGGCCTAAGTACAAAACTTGGGTCTTTTCCCATTCGCACTTCTTTGCGTTGATCTTGAAGTTAGCTTCTCTCAACTTTTCCAAGACCTGCCTGAGATGACCCTGATGCTCTTGGAGGATCTTGCTAAACACTAGGATATCATCTAAGTAAACTACAACAAACCTATCTAACCACGGCCTAAACAAATCTTTCATACATCGCTGGAAAGTCGTTGGCGCGTTGGTTAGTCCAAAGGGCATCACGATGAACTCGTAGTGCCCGTATCTAGTCCGGCAAGCTGTCTTGTACTGATCATCAGGATGAACCTCTATCTGATGATATCTGGACTTTAGATCCATCTTCGTAAAATACTTGCACCCCTGCACTCGATCTAAAAGATCATCTATCCTAGGCAGTGGCTCAACATTCTTTACTGTGATAGCATTCAGACCCCTATAATCTATACACATTCTCAGCTCTCCCTCCTTTCTGGGAACAAAGAGAACAGGTGCTTCAAAGGGAGACGAACTGGGCCTAATCCAACCCCTCTCAAGGAGCTCGTCTAATTGTTTGCGCAGTTCCTCTAACTCCCGCGGGGACATCCTATACACGGCCCCCTTAGGCGTTCTACTGCCAGGCTCTATCTCGATTCGATGTTGGATGGGCCGCGAAACTACTCCTATCGGCGGCTCAGCTAGATCTTTAAACTCCTCCAGCAGCTTGGCAATAGCAAGGTCTATAGGCTTTTCTTCCTTAGGCTCAGTTACTGGCCTAACATAGGCTACAAAAACCAGTTCCTCTAGTTGCTCCTTCTTCACTAACCTTGCAAACGCAGGAGCACTAAGGCAGCAATGCGCCAGGGAGTTGTCTACTCCTGACACATGAAACAGACGGGCAGTCTTGACGCCGCCTGACGGACTAGGGAGCCTACACTCGTGCTCTCTCAAATGGAGTGTGGCCCCTGCTGCCTCTCCCCAGTCCATACCTAGGACTATGTCGAACGGGAGGCTATCCTCTACGAGGAGAGTCAGGGAATGGAGAACTTTCTCCACTTTCCCAGTCTTTTCTAGGCGGACATACCCCTGGACTCCCTCTACGTACTCTTCTACTCGCATGGTGCGATTGTTCGAGAGGATACTCACGATTGGGTCCGCTAATCTTTGGACTTTTAGTTTCAACTTCAGCTTCTGTAGCGCCTTCCTACTAATATAACTACGAGTGGCTCCACTATCCAGTAAGGCGCCAACTCGACCTCTAAAAATCTTTGTGTCTACTAATATAAGCTGCCCCTTATTCTCCTTTTTCATCTTGGCCCAGGCGGGCATCCTCTCCTTCAATTCTTCAGCCATGCCTGTGAGGGATGTGTCTGGAGAGACTCTAACACAAGCAGTCTCTGGGCAGCCATCTAGACACCGGCCTGCAACCTCTGCCATAGGCACATGTGGTGTGGGAGTCTCCTGCCGGCTAGCGCTATTTTCCCCACATGGCCTTATGGTAGGGGCAGTTGCTACCCCTACCGGCGACTGCCTTTTGGCCCTTGAGCAGCCGATCGGGTCTCTCTATACTTCGGACAATATTTAATGATGTGGCCAGGGTCACCGCAATAAATGCACTGCCCCTGGTTCACACGCTGCTGCCATATGCGCTGGTCCAGACCCAAATCTTCCCAAGGCCTGCCTTGAGGAAGTCCTGGGTGCCAACCACTTCTTCTATAAGAGGACCTATTCCCAAACCGGTTTTGTGGGGGACCTTGACCCCTTCCTCCCGCTTGGCGGTTTCCTCCTCTGCCGCCAACCCCCTGATCGCCCTGGGAACGGTTCCCTGAGGACCGGCCCCCTTGGCCCTGGCCTCGTCCTCCTCCTTGCGGCCTCCCTCCAGCCGCGACAACAGCGTAAGTCCTCCCTTGACTCGCGCCACTGTCTTCGTCCTCTAACCCCCACTCAATCTGCTCGTAGGGGATCTCGTCAACACTACCTTCATCTAGAGTGAGGACAAGACTATCCTTAGTTTTAACTTGCCCTGAGATAGTGCGACCTTTCCATTGCTTCCCCTTGTCTAAGTCTTTGTGCCAGAAAGTGGAAGTTGATACCGACTTTGCCTCAAAAGCCACCACTTCGCGGCTAAGGGAATCATAGGTGGTGGCAGGGTTTTCACTCTTCGCGAAGAAATGCCCTCGCAAGGCTTCGGGCATAGCCCGGTAGAAGAGGCTGACCAACTGGGTCTCTGTGACCCCGTGGTCAGGTACAACCACTTATTCGTCCATTGTGCCCTTGAGTGCCCTGGCACTCTTCCATTTACGAGAGTGGATTGTCTGAAGCCTATCTGAGGCCTTGACATTACGAGCGACATCAGCAAATCGCTCGCGCAACAATTTCATGAAATCAACGAGGGGGGTGAACGACGAGTAGGCAACCGCATCATCATTGCAGTTAGCAGAGCGGACTAGGGATCTCGCGAAGCTGGCAGCCTCATCTCTAAGCGCATGAATTGCAATTAGCACGTGCTGATCTGGGGCGACCTGTTGCAAATGCACATAGGTCTTGACATTGGCCTCCCAATTGTCAAAGTTCTCTTCCCTCTTTCCACTGTAGGAATCGGGGAACCTGACTTTGACTGGCTCCCTGCAAGGACGTGCCTCTTCCTCCTTGGGAGCTGTCAGCTTGACGCCTTCAATGGCGCCCACGCAAAATCGTTTTGTCTTCTCGAGGCGATGGTTCACCTCGGACCCTACTGCGCCTACCAGTTCGCGGGCAAAATCCCGAAATCCCGCATCGAGCGCACGACCATATCCTGACTTCTACTAAACTCATATTGTTCTCCCTGTACCCGGGCCAAGCGCTCAACACTCTGGGCAATGACCTCCACCTTTCGTTGCAGATCCACCTCGGCGGTCAACTGTTCTCTTAGGTTCTTCACCTGCTCTAATTCTTTGGCCGCCTCACTTGCCGCATCCACTCTCCTCTTCTTTTCCCTCATCATCCTGAGCCTCCACTCCATCTTTTTCTCATCCTCCATCGCTTGCCGCTTCAGGGAATCTCCCTCTGCATCCCATTCTTTCATGGCGGCCTCCTGCTCATCCTTGGTGATATACATGGTAACCACCTCCTCTTCTCCCAAAGACAAGTTGGCAACCCATTCTGAAATCCTTTTTTCCATTTCATCATTTTTACTCCCACTGTACTGCCCTCGTTGCTCTCTCCTCCTTTCCAACGGCTGCTCATCTTCCTCCTCCTCCTCTTCCACCTCTTTTAACTTCGCTTCTTCTTCTTTCTTCAACCTCTCCTTCTCTCTGGTCATCTCCTCCTCAATCTTCTTCAATTTCGCCACCTGCGCCTCCAACAAGGCCTCCTTCTTCTCTCTCCTCTCCTTCAGGATTGCGGCGGCCTTGGCCTCTTCTTCAGGTGTGTAGGGGTGTGTGGTCGTACCACCCTTGGTCTCTACCCTACACGAAAATGTGTTCCAGAATCCCAATGGAAACATGAAACGCCAAAGGGTCCCCCAAAGGGAGAACCCAACGAGTAAACCATACATGGGGTAGTCATCCATGGTGATAGGTGCACGACAGGACAGTCCCACTCCTCACCACTTAAACCAACCCGCAGACTAACTGACAGACTCTCTAAGGACCACAAGGTAGAACCCTGTCAGCTATGGTCACTAGCCTAGACCTACTCTAAGGCGGTCACTACTGAACCAGTGGCTGATCTGGAGGCCTTTTAAGGACATCCCCCTAACTCCTCAAGAATTCTTTAACGTCGCAGACAGGACGACGTGATCAGCTTGGCTCTTACCTGTCGCACCGACCACAACTCAGTTTTTCAGGCCTACCGTGCCACACCGAGCAGCCCGCCGGTCTGTACCGGTCCTTCGGAGGGTTCGTGTCCCCCGGGACAGTCGAGTCGTCAGACACAGTCTTTAGCCTTACTTAGTCTGACAGGGGTGCGGGTCAACAAGGCCCTTAACACTTAAACTGCCTGTTGTTTCAGCCCGCAACTCAGTCTTTCAGGCCCACCGTGCCATACCAACCGTGTCCAGCCGGTCAGCACTGGTCCTTGGGAGGGTTATGCCCCCCTGGACAGTTGGATCTGCCACAGTCTCAACCCTACTAGATCCGGTAGGGGAGTGGTCAACCAGGCCTATCCTTCATCCGCAGAGTACTATCACTTAGGAAGAGACTCGATGCAGAAAGAAGAGACAGACAGACTCAGACTCAGCAAGTACCGTAGGTTAAGTGCACATCCACAGGGTGAGGGGATAGGCTAAGGGCTTTGCGAGATGTTACCCTTAGCGAGATGTTACCAACTCCAGCTTGGTCAAAGTCCTAGTCAACGGCGCCGGTCAACGCTTGGTCAACGCGGCAAGGCCCCGGTCAACACCCCGGTCAACCTTCCGGTCAACATCCAGTCACCCCCCCGGTCGACTCTCCACCTTGGCTATGGCTGCCGGCACCTTCTCCTTCGCCACCCTTGTCTCTTTCTTCCCCTTCCTTC